CGTAGCTTATTTGTAACAAAGCCAGGACTAGAACCATAGATCCTGACTGCCAGTGAAGATTGGTCATTTTTTTTTCTTTGAGATGGAGTTTTGCTCTTGTTGCCCAGGTTGGAGTGCAATGAGGTGATTTCTGCTCACCGCAAATGCAACCTCTGCCTCCCTGGTTCGTGATTCTCCTGCCTCAGCATCCTGAGTAGCTGGGATTATAGGCATGTGTGACCACACCCAGGCTAATTTTGTAGTTTTAGTAGAGAGGAGGTTTTCTCCATGTTGATAAGTCTGGTCCCTAACTCCCAACCTCAGGTGACCCGCCCACCTAGGCCTCCCAATGTGCTGGGATTACAGGTGTGAGCAACTGTGCCGGCCAGCTTTGCCATTTTCAACCAGATTCAGCTTGGATTATCATTCATTCAGTCAATATTTTAGAGTATGTTATGGCCTTTGCTAGGCCCTGACAGGAATAACAAATTAGTAATCCTGTTGTCAACCTTATAGTCTAATAGAGACTATGGAACAGGTATATAAATAACTATGTAGGTTAGAAATTAATGCCATAAGAGGTTCAGATATTTAAGAAGTACCTAGGAAGAATATATCTGATTTGCAGTTGTCATGCTACAGTTTACCTGAATTGTCACCATTTTTCTTCTAGGTGCATTTGATTTGATTCCAGGATAGAAACAAGGGTTTCAATGGGTCGTTTTGTGTTGTCACCTTAGAGTTACTCTACCTTTTAATTGACTCTATTAAACTGCTTATTAGGATACTAAAGCAGAGTAGAGAAAAATAAAGGAAATATATCTTTCATGGTCTTGACGTCAATTCATTGCCGAGTTTGGTTTTATTTCTTTAAAAGGGATGCAGAAAAACTTGCGAACATTAAGAGAAATTTAAGCCAAAAAAAAAAAAAAAGCATTTAAAATTCTAAGAACCCTTCTCTCTCTCTTTTTCCTTCCTCCCTCCCTCCCTCCCTCCCTCCCTCCCTCCCTCCCTCCCTTCCTTCCTTCCTTCCTTCCTTCCTTCCTTCCTTCCTTCCTTTTCTTCTCTTTCTCTTTCTTTCTTCTTTTTTTTTTTTGACAGGGTCTTGCCCTGTCGCCCAGGCTGGAGTGTGGTGCATGGTGCATCATATCTTATTGCAGCCTCAACCTCCCAAGCTCGAGCAATCCTCCCACCTCAGCCACCCAAATAGCTGGGACCACAGACACACACCACCACGTGCAGTTCATTTTTTAACTTTTTCTGCAGAGATTAGGTCTCACTATGTTGCCCACAGTGGTCTTAAACTCCTGAGCTCAAGCAGTCCTTTCACCTTGACTTCCCAAAGTGCTAGAATGCCCTTCCTCTTTTTATTGTTCTCTAGCTAAATGTGTGAAATAGGATTGGAAAATAGGACTAGTGGAACTGGGATTATTGACAATTGAGAGAAGCAAGAAATGAAAATTCATGTGGGAATTGCTCATATATTTCATAAATTATCTATAGTTGGGATCAGCAAATTTTTTTCTGTGAAGGATCAGATAGTAAATATTTTAAGTTTTGTACGCCATGAGGTCTTCGACACAATTACTCAGCACTGCCTTTGTAGCTGGAAAGCAGCCATAGATAAATATATAAACAAATGGGCATGGTTGTGTTTCAGTAAAACTTTAAATACAAAAGCCAGCTGCAGGCGATATTTGACCTGCAAACCATAGTTTGTGTAGGATCCTTCTTTGTTGACTCTTTTACCAGAAGATGCACAGAAGAACTTGAAAAAAAATGAAAGTCAAACCAGATAATGATGGTATTTATTAGCACCATCAGCATAGGTAGGTACAAAATAAAACCAAGTGAAGGTAGGTCCGATTCATAGTTTGGACAGAAGGTTTTGGATTAAGAGCTCAATCTTGACTAGATAGTTCTTTTGTTTGGTTCTATTTAGGGAAGCATCCTTCCTGTATCTGTGTAATCAGTACTACATTGGGTATTATTTCATTAATTAATTTGGTTTTGAGACGGAGTCTCTCTCTGTTACCCAGGCTGGAGTGCAGTGGTGTGATCTTGGCTCACTGAACCTCTGTCTCCCAGGCTCAAACATTTCTCCTGTCTCAGCCTCCCGAGTAGCTGGGACCACAGGCATGTGCCACCACGCCCAGCTAATTTTTGTGTTTTTAGTAGAGACAGGGTTTCATTATGTTGGCCAGGCTGGTCTCAAACTCCTGACCTCCAGTGGTCTGCCCATCTTGGCCTCCCAAAGTGCTGGGATTACAAGTTTGAGCCACTGTGCCCAGCCCAACATTGGTTATTTTTGTTTTGAGTCCGTAAGACTTGTCCGTAATTCTCAAGTGGTGGGAGAGAAGGCCATGGAAAAATAGAAATTACATCATGGAAGCAAAATATTAATGTTATTCTTTAAAAAATATTTTTTGGCAAAATGTATGTTTTACTAGTCAATACGACAACCTGGCCCAAGCAGACTATTGAAGCACCTGAGTATTAGTTTGCTAGGGCTGCTATAACAAAGTTTTACAAACTGTTTTTTAAACACAGAAACTAGTTTTCTCAGTTTTGGAGGCTAGCATTCTGAGATCAAGGTGTCAGGCAGGGCCATGCTCCCTCTGAAGGTGCCAGGGAAGGATCTGTTCCAGGCTTATCTCATAGCTTCTAGTAGTTCTTGACTTGTAGCAACATAACTCTAGTCTTCACATGACATTCTCCCTGTGTGCCTGCCTGTCTCAGTGTCCAAATTTCTCTTTTAATAAGGTTACCAGTCATACTAGATTAGGGCCTCATTTTAACTTGATTCCCTGTGTAATGACCCTGTCTCCAAATAAGGTCACATTCCAAGGTACTGGGAGTTAGGACTCCAGTCTATCTTCTTGGGTGCATACAATTCACCCCATAATAATATGGTACCAAAGACATTCAATTTAGGCAAAATTCATCAGCTGGGTACATTGTTGGACCTGAAATAAAGGCAAAATACTTCATGACTCACTCGTGGTCACATTAGTTTCCATAGCAGAAGTATTATATTGGCGGCTCTGTTGTACATAATGTATACGGAAATGTTATTTTTTGGTTGTTGTTTTTAATTTGCAGTTAGAAGATTTTCTTTACAGAAATATTAATAGCTTAAATATGTTAATGGCTGTGGCAACGTCCACTCCCATTTATAGCCATCAAGTCCCCTGAGTCACTGCCGCTTTGCTTTGCGAAAGTTCATACCTGCCATTCCAGCCCAAAGTTCCTCTTTGCTTTTTTTTTTTTTTTGAGACTAGGTCTCAGCCCAGGCTGGAGTATAGTGGCGTGCACACGGCTCACTGCAGCTTCAACCTCCTGGGTTTAAGCGATATTTGCACCTCAGCCTTCTGTGGAGCTGGGTCCACAGGCGTGTGCCACCACATTCAGCTAATTAAAAACTCCAACTCAAAAAAAAAAAAAAGAAAACTCCATCTCAAAAAAGTTTTTTTTTCTTTTTTTTCGGGATGGAGTTTCACTCTTTGTTGTCCACGCTGGAGTGCAGTGGTGCAATTTTGGCGCACTACCACCTCTCCCTCCTGGGCTCAAGTGATTCTCCTGTCTCAGCCTCCTGAGTACCTGGGATTACAGGCACCTGCCACCACACCTGTCTAATAGAGATGGGGTTTCACTATGTTGGCCAGGTTGGTCTCAAACTCTTGACCTCAGATGATCCTCCCACCTGGGCCTCCCACGTGCTGGGATTACAGGTATGAGCCACCCTGCCTGGCCAAAAAAAATTTTTTTTTTTTTCCATAGAGACAAGGTCTTACCATACTGCCCATGCTGATCTCAAACTTCTGGCCTCAAGTGATCCTTTTGCCTTGGCCTTCCAAAGTGTTGGGATTATAAGCGGGAGCCATTATGCCTGACCCCTTCCTTTCTTTCTGAAGTCTTTTTCCTTTCTCTCCTCCACGCTTTTGTTAGGCTATCACAAATGGCCACAGAACTCCAGCATCCTATTTTCAAGTTCATTTTCCTTTATTCTTTAAGTTGAAATTCAAGGTCTACGTCTTCCAGGAAGGTGATCTCTTTTTTTCTAAATTTCCTGCCCTTTATTGCATTAGAACAATTCTGATGTGATGGGTTTCATCCACTGTATCTCACTTGGGGTGTGTAGGTGGGTGGAGTGGAAAAGCAATAATGCCTGTTGTTTCAAGAAAGGGATGGGTTGCACCACTACCCATTAAGGTATTAGGTTACCTCTGGGGAATAGGAGTGAGTTCTTGTAATATTCTTGCCCATTTGTAAGTTTGTTTTGAAAGCTATTATAGAGCTGCAATTCTGTAAGAATATGAAGGAGTGTTAAAACTTAAGTTACTTGAGTCTTATGTAAGAATTTAAAGATGTACGTATGTTTTGTTAGAGGGACCTCTCTTTTGTTGTTCTCAACCCTCATGTTTTTGGTAAATTTTTGTTTTTTTTTTCCCCCCTGCCAGAATACAGGTGACACATCTTAGATGGTACTGATTAAAAAAAAAGTAGTCATTTCTCATTATGAAAGGATTCCTCATTATGTGATTGTTGCTTAATTGCTGAGTCTTGCTCTGTCACCCAGGCTGGAATGCAGTGGCATGATCTTGGCTCACTGCAACCTCCAAGCCCTGGGTTCAAGTGATTCTCCTGCTTCAGCCTCCCAAGTAGCTGGGACTACAGGTATGCACCACCACGCCTGGCTAAGTTTTGTGTTTTTAGTAGAGATGGGGTTTCGCCATGTTGACTAGGCTGGTTTCGAACTCCTGACCTCAGGTGATCCACCTGTTATGGCCTCTCAAAGTTCTGGGATTACAGGCGTGAGCTACCACACGCAGCCTGTTGAGTTGTTTTTTAAGCTTTTGTTTGGGTGTGTTTCTCATTACCAAGTAGATTGTTTCATATCTCTGAGCACTGGAACCTCTCTTTGTAGCATAGTGTTTATGTATTTTAGGCATATTTTGTGGGACACAGCGTTTTGGGATTTTTTTTTCCTCATGCTTTCTTTAAAAATCCTGTTTCCTCACTGCATTTAAAACATGGATTTGCTCATATTAAATTTTTTCAGAACACATCCAGGCTGTAAAGTTACTTATCGGTCATTATCTCAGCAAGAATTTGTCAGTGTGTGGCAGTGCTGTGTGTCAGGGATGCACCTAAGAGGTGCTCCACCCTTTCTAATTAAAATGAGGTCGTGGGGTTGACCAGAACAGCTGTTTTCTGAAATTTTTGCCACAAACAATCACGTCAGCTAAAGTAAGGATGGAGACAGTTTATGAGATGAACACATGTAGAAATGACTCCATGCCTGAATAGGAACAGAAAGGTTCGCCTGTTACTGTGTGGGTGGGTGCTGTGGAACACCTCCCTCCGGGGGATTCATCCCAGCAATTTGTTTATCCCGATGAAGTTTGTACCTGTTAACCTAGGTCCAACCTAGAGGTGGACCCTGAACTCTCTGCATGTCAGTTAGAGGAGCCACGAAAACCTCTCGCGTCAGAGGGAGGGTTGGTTAGAAGTGTCGGTTCAGAGAACCGGAAATTGCTTGGCTCAGCTGACACAAAAGAGGATCTGAAGGGTGCGGGCAGAGAGCATGCAGTTTTAGAACCAGGAGACGCCTTTTCCTGCTGGGGAGTGACAAGTCAAGGGTCATCTGGAAGAATTGAAAGATGGACTCTGTGTGGAACAAGGGGCAAGATGGGACTGCTTTGGGAGTGGCACAGACACAGAGCTCCAGAAGACTGATCAGCTGTGGAATCCGTGGAGTACCCCTTCCAGAGTACTGGGGACATCCGGACATCAGATCTCTGAATTTCAAAGACTCACTGTCTTGGTTTTAATCCTCACCATACCCCCTGCATCAGAATCTCCTGGGGCGCTCATTAAAAATGTAAATCATTGGGTCCCTCTATCACAGGCAATAACAATGAGGGGGGACATTTTGGGCTATCTAGGTGACTAGGAATCTCACTGAAGGCTAAGGACCACTGGGTGAAATACTCCCCAAAGAGTGGTTGCTCTGTGTGTTTGAACCTTTCAGTGGTGAAGAATGAACTGTCTTATAAACAGTGATCTTTTAAGTCCGGGGTGATGCAGGCAGGAAATGTAAATGAGTGCCAAGTAGAGAATGACAAACTTATGAGTAACTGAGTTAAAATTGAGTCCAAAGAAAAATTGGGATACTTTGCTTAAGGTTGACGTCAGAAAAGCTAACAGCACATGTTCCTTGGAACCCTGGTTGGCTATAGTACTGGAGCAGCTGGACTGATGCATGAGAGCCATTCTGAGTTCCTCTAGGACACTGGAAATGGTTTCAGAAGTCAGCCTGTAGATGTACTGGGCCAGCTAAGATGCCAGGTGTAAACCTCTCAGTTCAGATGAAGCTCTTTGAAATCTAGGATAAAGAAAAGCTTTTTTGGTTCTTTTCTTTTTTTTCCTGTCTAATGTCTGCCATATACGTTTTAAAGTAACCGCCTGGTGAGGTGGTGGTGTATACATGTGCACATTATGGGATGGGAGGATCTGTGTGTTTTGTGGGGGAGGCTGTGGCAAAGAGGAGAGATTCCTGAGCATATATTGAGCCCGAATACAGTGAGCGATGAGAATGAGTTTTCATTTTCTTTCTTTCTGTTGACCCTTTTCCTCACCCTCTCTGCTGTATACAGAATGGGTAAGACTGTCATTGGCAGCAGAGACAGGAAAGGTTCCAGGGCTTGTGCCATTGCAGAAAACCCCTTCCTTCCCTGAAACCGGTCAACTGTATAAACAGAGAGGCACCCAGACACGGCATGGCTCCTTGCCCTGCCTCTGCCTGCTCAATTTCCATCTATAAAACCTGCCAGTTAATGCTACTTTTAGGAAAAAACATTTAGAGGTTAAAAGCTCTTGCTAAAATGTAGAGATTTGCCCAATTCTTATTCATCCCTCCTTAGGGAAGACTGCAAAAAAAATCATTAAAATAAAAAGACTAGTTACTGTAATGCAATCTCACTTGCCTCAGTCCTTTTCCATTTATTAGCATCCCTGCATCCCCAGCTGCTGCAGCTAATAACATTTTGAAATTTTTAACTTCTATACCGACAACCATATATGGGGCTATTGAACAGCTAGAGGGGAAAGCAGCCAGGAAAATCAAGGGATAGGGACAGTCTTAGAATTTGATAAACAGACAGTGGGTATCCTGTGATCAAATTGGTTGAAAGGAGCAACTTGTACACCATGTAGAAAACATGCTTCTCAGTTCTTCAGCTGACACCTTGCTAGGAGAAGTAGTGATAAACACAAAATAACAGCTTCCAGAAAGATAGCGGCACACTAGCAGATAAGCCCAGGTTAACAAAAGGAAGTATAATAGGAATAAATAATCATAAAATCTCACATTTCTGTGAAAAATACTGAGAGAATTCTAGTATGACTAGGTATATCAAAAGACCTGGATGGTTGATGTCTTAGTTCAGGCTGCTCTAACAAAGTAGACTAGGTGGCTTATCTGTACAGAAATCTATTTCTCACAGTTCTGGAGGCTGGAAGTCTGAGATCAGGGCGCCAACATGATCGGGTTCTGGTGAGAGCTCTCTTCTGGGTGGTAGACTGCTGACTGCTGTGTCTTCATGTGACAGAGAGAGAGCCATAGAGCTCTCTGGGGTTTGCTTTTATAAGGGCATGAATCCTATTCATGAGGGTTCCACCTTTATGACCTAAATCACCTTCCAAAGGTCCCACTTTTTTTTTTTAAAGACATAGTCTCGCTCTGTCACCCAGGCTGCAGTACAGTGGGGCGATCTTGACTCACTGCAACCTCTGCCTCTCAGGTTCAAGCGATTCTCCTGCCTCAGTCTCCTGAATAGCTGGGATTCCAGGTACATGCCACCACACCTGACTAATTTTTGTATTTTTAGTAAAGATGGAGTTTTACCATATTGGTCAGGCTAGTCTTGAACTCCTGACTTCATGATCCCCCCCGCCTCGGCCTCCCAAAGTGCTGGGATTACAGGTGTGAGCCACCATGTCCCGCCAAGGCCCCACCTTCTATACTATTACATTAGGGGTTAGGATTTTAACAAATGAACTTTGGGAGGACACAAACATTCAATTCATAGTATTTGATTTGACCATAAATGAGTATTAGCCAACAAATTAATTTAGTTGCTTAATCCCTTAGCATAGTTTTACCTAAAATTAATAAAATCATATTTTGATTAAGAAATGAAATCATCATATTACCTAGACAAATAGGTTCTAGTTCAGAAGTTTGGAGTTTTGAAATCAGAACACAGGGTTTTTTTTTGTTTGTTGTTTGTTTGTTTTTTGTAGAAACATTGTACTGTGTTTGGTAGACTGATTCCCAGGTTTCCCAGTTCCCACAGAAATCCAGTCTTCTGATGGACGTTTAGAACCAATATTGCCAGCGTCCATTCTGAGTCTCTTGTGAGTGCAGGTTTGTCATGTGGTACATAGGTAGAGGAAGAGAGTATCTTCCTTACATCTAGTAATCTTAGTGAAAAATACAGATGGATGATCTTTTGCATTCTCTTCTCTCTGTGAAGCTTGAGAATAATAAAAGAGAGGTGCCCCGAGCAGAACACGTGTGCGTCTTTACATTCCCTTCCTGATGCTCTTCTCAAGTGTCCTAAGTGATGAGCATTTCATCATGTCACATCCTGGAAGTTTTGAGATTTTAAAGTGGGGCCCTAACCCAAATGCTTCTCTCATTAGAGTTTCAGATGATAAAACAATCTCAAGTGACAAAGTCCCAGAACAGTGACAGTCTAGAACAGGTCAGCCTTTCCAGGAACCTTTCCTGGGGAGGTGGCTCTCCCAGCTTCACCTACCTGTCACTTTTGAACCTAAGGGTTTTTGTTGTTGTTGTTTTAGTTAGTTTTCTCTCTCTCTTTTTTTTTTTTTTTTTTTAATGCAGCTGTGCAAAGGAGCCCCCAAGCCTCTGAGTCGGACCAGGGGGACTGAGAAGCTCTTTATATGTATAGGTAGATTTTAAGATGAGAACGGTAGTATGTGCCCTAGGCAGAGCCCTCCTGGATATCAGGAAATCAAATGTAGAGATTAACATTATGTTAGTCTGTTGGTGTTTTTCTATAAAGAAATATTTGAGGCTGGGTAGTTTATAAAGAAAGATATCTAATTGGCACATGGTTCTGTAGACTGTGCAGGAGGCATGGCACCAGCATCTGCTTGGCTTTGGATCAGGCCTCAGAGAGCTTACAGTCATGGCAGAAAACAGAGTGGGAGCAGGCTTGTCACATGGCAAGAGAGGGAGCAAGAGAAAGAGAGGGAAAGGCCACACCCTTTTAAATCACCAGATCTCAGAGTGAGAACTCACTCATCACCCAGGTGATGGTGTTAAGCCATTCATGAGGGATCGGCCCCATGATTCAAGCCTCCCACCAGGTTCCGCCTCCAATAGTGGGGATCACATTTCAGTGTGAGATTTGGAGGGACATATATCTAAACCATATCAGACATTGAGAAAGATGGACTCAAATGTAGGTAGCAGTTATTGAGCACTTCCTACAAGCCTGACATTTTCTTAATGAGCTTGTGTAATATTCACAACATTTCAAGCTAGTATGAAATAGATAGTATCATCCTCCTCACTTGGCAGATGAAGAGATGAGACTTGGAAGCTTTAAATGATTTTCCCAGGGTCATCTAGTTAGTGAGTGGCCGTGGTGGGATTTAAAGTTTAATCTCAGAATCCATCCTTTCATCCTAATTGCTGTACTGCCTCCTTAGAAGTTGCCCAGGCCAAAGAAGTTGTTTGGTTATTGTTTGTTTTGAGATTTAGAGGAGTATTATTGGGGGATAATAGTTACCACTAAAGATTTAAAGTTGGTTAAAAGAATGGAAGACTAAACTTGTTCTATGTTGTAGTAGTTAGAAATGTTTTAGAAATAAATTGGGATATCTGCTGTTTTCTAATGACATTCTAACTTTCTTAAATTTACCACCCCCCCACCACCTCAAATCTCCATGCTATGGGTAAAATTCTGTGCCATAGAGAAGATTCTGTTTTTTCATTTAAAAATGACATTTAAAGTTTTTATTTACTCCATCCCCAATCTCTATGCCATAAAGAAAATTCCTACTTTGGATAC